AATTTATTTAATTTATTTTAGATGTAGATTATATACTATGTATAACTTGAATTATACACCAACAACTTTGGGGGTACAAAGTTGAAGAGAAATTATATCTGGGGGTACGCGAAGACATCTTTGGGGGTACGTGAAATTTTAAAAAAAATATATGTTATTTTATGATAAACACTGAATAATCAGTAATGTAATTTATTTAATTTATTTTAGATGTAGATTATATACGATTATAACTTGAATTATACACCAACGACTTTGGGGGTACAAACTTGAAGAGAAATTATATCTGGGGGTACGCGAACAAAAAAGGTCGAATACCACTGGTTTAGGGCATTCCATTAACTTTGGCATCACATGTTCTTCTTCATAATCAGAGCTGTCTGCAATAAATTTGTCACCAGTTGTTATGCAAGCTAATATTAAAATAACATCCCCCCCCCCAGAAACACACAGACGTGAACAGAGACACGAAAGACCTCATTTGTTTTCCGGTGTCGGTCTTACACATTTGCAACAGCGTTCATTTCCTGATAGGACGTGTCGCATAAACGCAAATAAGGAGAATGCGACATTGAATATCAGGGCCAAGATACGAGGCAGATCTCCCTATCTGGGTCACGAGAACTTCCTTTGAACTTGCAGGCTTACCGGACGTAAGAACGATACTGTGAGGTATAGAGCCACTTGTTCGTAATGAATCGCTTGTTCTGGCTACACACGCGTTACGGAAAGCTGTTCGGTGTGTGGCTGAATGCATGAAACAGTGAGCAGTGACCCTGATGACGTGGTGACGTACGAGTTCTTATCTCGGCCGGAGAAGTCCACCGGTTACGCAACTCTTGGCAGATAACACCAGAGTGCTACTACGTCAGGAATCACCTGAGCGTCTACAGACTGTGAGCCAATGAGAAATCTCTGCACTACAAGTGACGTTCCTCAGTAAAACGTAAGCTACTTCCCGGCAAACAGGGTCTTGTTTGTTCAGCTACATTTTTTCTCGGTACCTCCAGTTTGTTCTTTAATATTGTTCTTAATACTTCCTGAAGCGAGCTGAATTTTCCTGGAAAGCTGCACGGTATCTTCGTCGGTAATTCTTGGGGCCTCATATTTCCGCAATTCTGCAATAACCATCTGCGACAAAACACGGAAGCCTGGGGAAAACAGCGTAAAGAGGGGGCAGACATAGGAGGAGGAATGTCACAAGCTGTGGTGCGGGGGTAATGACCCCTTTCGTTTCCCCCCCCCCAAAAAAAAAAAAAGGTGTAGAATTTCTTCAGTAACCAAGGAAGTATCGGATTCTCAAGGACATCGTCGCAGAGTAATTTCAATATCTGAAGTATATTTTCCGTCCTACACGTTCATCGTGGTGGTCTTATATATGGCACGACTTTTAATTCAATATTCGCAAACTTAACCCTACTGTTAAAACGATCTTGTCAGGTCATCTTTCTGTTTCGAAATCTACGAGGTCTCCCAAGGTCTTCCACCAACATTCACGGCCGGCCGACAATTTTTGTTGTATCTAATCAGCGTATCCAGGGTAACAGAATAGTAACGATTCGGATAAGATAAGTGCATGTGGGGGAAAAATGTCATGTAAGAACATGGTCTGTGCGTTCAAGAGTTCGGAGGAACGGACAGCTAGGACACTGCCGCTGAACGAGGCATCGTTTCCATCAAAAAATGTGTCTGAGCATGTGTAGTGTGTTGCAGGAAACATTTTGCCCCCTTTTAAATATCGACACGATCGGTGGCATTTTCGAACATTGGCCTCGACACTACTCTGGATTTTGCGATCCGAAGGGACCTTGAAACACAAGCACGCGTTAATTCTACAGCGTAAACTTATTTGTAACGGTCATCCAGGGTCGAAATTATGTTGCGTCCACTCTATGACGGGCCGTCTACGTGGTTTCATTCAATTACCAAAGGAATTGTATGAAACTTACAAAATCTCACGTCTTTATTGATAAAAAAAAATCCTTTCGAGACCACGTGGCCTAATTCTGCGGTTAACAGCATTGTAACCTATTATAAATCTATAAGGTAGTATATTTGCGTCATATTGTGAATTAAGTTAATATTTTAATATTTTCCGTCAAATCACAATTTTTAATAAGATGATAAAATATTTAAAATATCATTTCACGTTCCGCATCGAATGATCGATTTACAAATTGGAACGTTTTCTTACGACATGTTTCGGTTATATTTAACCGTCCTCAGGTATAAATTAGATTGGTAAATTTTAAAACTGGAATTACAATCCTTTTTATACCTGAGGACGGTTAAATATAACCGAAACATGTCGTAAGAAAACGTTCCAATTTGTAAATCGATCATTCGATGCGGAACGTGAAATGATATTTTAAATATTTTTATCATCTTATTAAAAATTGTGATTTGACGAAAAATATTAAAATATTATTCTAAATCGTGTCTAAGTTCATTCATTACAGAGACATCAAGCTATTTTTTGGACAATAGTTTCTCCTTCTCCAAGACTTCTTCTAAACAGATCGACAAATATATCGCATGACATTGAATTTGCTTCTGAAAATAAAATGGCATTCAAACTGGTTAAGGATATAGCAGATAAACAGACATTCTTCAGAAACTTTCGTTGGACCGCCTCCTGGCTGATAGTAGCCGTGTAATGAAGAAAGGTCCTCTGAGTCAAGCTATATCTAGACGCGTACTTCGTTAAATAAATGGTAGTGAGCACGGCAGAAATGAGAAATATTAAAAAAAAAATTCTTAAAACCTGAAGGTAAGAGCCAACTTGGCAAACCTAAGCGTTGGTAAAACGATAATACTGAAATTGATCTTTAAAAAGTCGGCATCAGCTTATGGACTGGATTCGTTTGTAAAATACTTTTCTTACATTTTGTAAAAGTAAAGTAAAGTTTGTCCCACTATACGCCATGTAGGCGTTTGGGGTGAGAGGAGGTATAGCTCCTCTCTTCCTTGACCTCTGCACTAGATGGAGGTGAGTGGTCAGCATCACGCCCCGGCCGGCTTTACCCCCGGGAAAGGACCCCGGTACCCATTGTAGAGGAGGCTGGGTGGGCCCCAGAGCCGGTCTGGATGCAGAGGCTAGAGGAAAAATCCTCTGCCCCCGTCGGGGATTGAACCCCGGTCGTCCAGCCCGTAGCTAGTCACTATACTGACTGAACTATCCCGGCTCTCTTACACTTTGTACATAGTCTAAATTATAATAAGACCATAACTAACTAAACCATGAGGTCCAATAGATACGTTTTCTGTCCTTTTCCTTATTTTACAGGAAGCATAATCCCGCTTGAGAGACTTTGTGGTTTTAAACCATGGACAAAGTCCAAGGGAACAGCTTTACAGATTATGTAACTGGCCGTCGTCAGAAACGTTCAGACTTCATCTCGATTCAATTGGCCAGCGGTCGTGGCAGATACTTGAACTCGGTAACGAACCTTCGGGTCACATAGAAGAAAGGCATCTGACTAGCTGAACGACTGTCAGCTTCTTAAGAAGGCTCTGAACCAGTTATTTAACGTTGATTGACATGCAAGGACCCGGATGCATCTAAACATGAAGATTC